CAGTAACAGGAAGTGGGTTGTTGCATCTTCCTCCTCATAAAATTCCCGAAAACAAACAGCTGTGATGTAACTTCCTGTCTGTTTACTGACCTCAGATCAGTTCTGGCACCTGCAAGCAAGGTTCTGGTTCTGTTTGGTTCTTTTTTGTGTGTCTGATTCTTTTGTTTTCTTCTAAGTGACAGAAGCTTTGTCCTACAAAGTTCATTAAAGAACCAGTTCGCTTCTATGAGTCCCATGTGGTTCTGTGCAAATACCTCTTGTAGACACGTGTCAGAATGTTTTGCTGCTGTTATAATTCTGGGATCAAACAGTACATTTTCAGCTGAGCAACGAGAGCAGGTAGTGTCCGACCCACCACAAAGCTCCTGGACGCAGCAGCAGAACTTTACACTGCACACAGCTGATGGTCTCCTCTGACCCAGTTCTCCCAGTGCTCCCAGTGAGCATCAGTGTGCGGCTCCAGTCACAGTCGGGAACAATCAGGTCTCTGTTCTCCGCATTACAGCCTCCCTGTTGTTCTCAGAGCTGCTCTCTGTCCTCTCGACCTCGTTATGTTTCCAACTCGCATTCAGAACTGGTTCAGACCTCCACCAGTGGAACCACAAAGCAGAGTCTACTCTGGTCTGGTCTACAGATGAGTTCATGGTCCACCCAATGACTGCAAGAAGCCCAAACCATCCGTCCTCCATCACCATGCTGACAGCTTGTATGAGGTGTTTGTTGCAGTGCATTCTGGGTAAACATCTCTGCTTTGGTCTGGGTTTGTCCCAGAAGTCTTTTGGTTCCTTCAGATTAAACTTTCCAAACCTAAATCATTCTGCCATTTTGTTTTTGGAGAGGTTTTCTCCTGCAGCTCTTCCAAACAAACCATGACCTTTGACCTTTAACCTGCAAACTGAGGTCTGAAGAGTCTGAGTTGGAAGTCATTTCTCTGAGCATTACACGGTCTGACCTTCAGGGTGAATCTGCTAAGATGTGCACTCCTTGGAACCCTTTGATCCTTCCCAGATTGATGGGCTGCCTCTCTGAGTGCATTGCTGATGCCTTTCCATCTTGGTGTTGTATTAACACACACCTGTATGCTCCAGAGCGGCAAAAACTGCTGAAGATGATCATTTAATCAGCAGCTCCTGGCTGATCCTGAACCTTAGAGAGCCTGTGGAAGCAACTAAGACTGGAACCGTGTTTTTAGTTCACCATTACAAACAGAAGGAGCTGAAGGCATTTTTAGACTTTTTTTTAAAGGTTTCACTTCAGGGGTTTTGTTTTCTAATATATTTTAGAAATCATATTTTCTTCTAAGAGACTGAATAGTTGTTTGTCTTGTTTGTCTCTACGTGTCCCTGTGATGGACTGGAGACCTGTCCAGGGTGTCCCCCGCCTCTCGCACAGTGACTGCTGATAGGCATCAGAAAGGTGAAGCGGGTGAAAATGGATGGATTTTTCAGTTTGTACCTCATGCTTTTATATTTTTACCAGTTTATCACCACTTCTCAGTGTCATAGTTGTCGTTTTTGGTTTATGTTTTTTTTTTTTTTTTTTGGAGTTATTATTTTTCTCCACCTTGATCATCTGGATCTGGTTCTTCCTCTGCCCCCCTTTCGACCAGGGTCATGTGACTTTAACCACCTCAACCTTGTTTCAGATAAAAATCAACATCTCATGATGACTGTCAGCTGGACTGACATAAAACATCAATAATCGCCAGAGAAGTTGTATTTTCTGCTAAAGTACAGCGTGATGCTCTGTGCTGAACGACTGCTTGCTGAAGAAGCTGAAACTGAGCTGTTAATGCTAAAAGAAAAACACTAGCTAAAAGCTAAAGGAAGCTAAAGGCTATCTATAACTAGCAAAACATTTCTAAAGAAGTTCCTAAACTTTTTCTTGTTTTATAAAGTTCAGATCTTTTCTAAATTACACCATAAGCTTTGGACTTATGTCGGGTCAGTGGTGATCCCCCTCTGGAGTCAGACCCTGAAGCCGTCCACAAACGGACAAACCCACCACTGTTCATGTGAGTCACGGTTTATGACCTATTGTAGCATAAATTCTTTGTGGCCTATTTTATTAAACATATTTATGACATCTTAATGAAGTCATGCAGATTTTGTTCATGTCAGATGAGCTAAACAAAGCTTTATTTTCTGTATGTCTGGGTTTCATATGCTCAAGTCAAACTAACTGAGCTGAAAAGTCCATCAGGCCCAGGCAGACCCAATCTGGTCCCTCCGGTCCTTGTCCCTGTCAGTCTAGGCTCCCAGACCTGAGTTTGGCCCTCAGTGTAAAGTGGAAGTCGGACGGGAGTGTCTGTATCCTCCTGCTGCGTTTCCTCGCCTGGCTCTTTATCTGCAGCCTTCACTCACTTCCTGCCTGCTGCCGTTGTTCTTGAACGTTCTTCCTCCTCGGTGACCCGCTGCTCTTTCTGCTCCCAGACTGGAGCAGACAAACCTTCTCTGTTCCAGGTTTGAGACACCTTCAGGTGCAGGAAGGTGCAGCTTTGTCTGACATTTTGGTGATCATTCAGACCGAAGATGGGGCTTTCTCTGACTCGTGTCATCGGCTGGTCTTCTCTGACTAACAGCAGTGATTAATGCCAACTTCCTCTGCTCCACTTTTAAACATGGCTTCTTGCCCTCTGTGGTTCTTGGTGGTCCTCCTCAGGTTCTGCAGCCCCGACGAGGTCAAATCATCAGCATCACTGAACAAACCCAGGCTCACTCCAGGAAAACGTTCTGAGAACTGATCAACATACGACGGAGTTTGTGTGATGAATCCTGCAGTTTACTTCAAGTAAAGTGCTTCCTGTTTCCTGAATGCACCTGTGCACGTAGCTTCTAGGTGTAAATGACCAATTAAATTAAAATAAATAACTATGTCTTCTTCTCAAATAAGATTCTCTTTTGATCAGAAATAAAAATCACATCATCGTCAACAGGAGAGTCATTAAATCAGAAAACAAGTACAAACTTTGGATCAAAGGGTCCATCGAGATCAGGAAATGAGTCCAGCTGATGTCAGCTGAGGCGAGGGGGCCTACCAGCTCTCACATACCAGGGATTCCCTCCTCCAGAGAACATTGGACAGTGGTGGGCAGGGCCTGACAGGTCTGACAGGTTGGTCACGCCCAAAGAGAAGAACAGCTGATGAAATAAAAGGTCACAAAGCCTCAGGAGCCATTTCTGAAGACTGAAGTCGAAACCTGGTGAGTTACGTCTGAACAGAACAACCTGAAGAGGTTTCCTGCATGTCCCAGTGCAGGTAGCTTCTTATGTACCTGTGCAGGCAGTTTACTGTGTGTACCTGTGCAGGTATCGTTATGCAGAGAGCTTCAGGGGACTGTAACACAGAGAACATTGTTCCATTATTTCTGATGTTCTGACGGTTCTGGTCCCGGACCTGCAGGCTGATCTGAGACCAGAACAGAAGCAGCTGAAGTCTGGAGGAGGAAAAAGGTCGTCAGGAGGAAGCCGCTGTGACTCACTTCCTCTTCTGCCTTTGTCCTCCTGCTGGACATTGCTGTCCTCTGGGACGTTGTTATTTTTACTCTCTTTGTTCCTCTGGATTCTTGACTTCATCTCCGGCCGTTAAACACATCTGTGACTCTCGGAGTTCTTCCAGAATCTTCTTCCCAAACGGTCACTAATCCTCTGAGAGATTAGCAGATATTTGGTCTTATATTAATGAAGCCGTCTCATTTAATGAACGTGGGGTTCTGGTCATGATTCTGTTTCTTCTATGATCCAGACTCAGTGACTGATTCAGACTTTAGAGCTGTTTGTTCTGGCGTTTGATTTAGTTTCACTCTTCGATGAAGCCTGCTGTGTTTGTATTGAAATATGAGGTGTTTTTTTATTGATTTATCCTATCAGGATTTATTGAGGTTTATTTTATTGTTCAGCACTTTTGTTCAGCTGACAGTTTTTTTTGGTCAAACTTTCCACAGCTACAGGGTGATAGATTCAGCTCACAGACTGCAGACACTTAAAATATAACAAATTCCAACCTTTTTAACCTTTTAACACACGTGCATGCGCGCACGCGCACACACATCAACACATACAGTTTTTCCTTTGAAAGCTCTCCACCCTTCAGCTTGAACCAACACCCTTAGCTGCAGCACTCCCTGCATCCTGTGTGTATTTGTGTGAATTTGTGTGTGTTTCTATTTCCTCACTGGGACATTTTCCAGGACAAATGGAGACCCTGCGTGGTCCAACAGTCCTGCTGTGGACCACAAACATTACAATACCTTGGGCTTGCACAAGTTCCTGCAGATGAGGAGTTAATTTTGTAGCCTGCAGACAATACTCCTCTGGGCAAATATATGGGTTAATGTTATTGCTTGCAAACAATACTTGGGGCTTGTCATTCTGAAGCCTGTAAACAATACTCGGAGATCACACTCATGATGCTGACTCTGTAAACAGGCGTAAAGGATGGTAAAGGTCACCTGAACCTATCTGTGAATGGTTAGGGTCAAAGGTCACTGAGATTAGGCTTAGATCTATATATGGTCATTATTTTAAAAAATATATTTGTTTGATAAAGTGAAGCAACACATCCAAGTTTTTTTATATATGCAAAGCTCCGCCCCCTTTGATGAAAGCCACTCCTCCACATCGATTGGTGGTAAATAGATATCCTGAAGTGTTTGCAAAAAAATAAATAAAAAATTAAAAAAAGGAATTTAAACAAAACAAAATCAGTATTGCCTTGAAGGTTTTTAGTGTCCAAATATCTGTTATAATTTGTCACTGCTGATCAACAATGTTCTTACAGTATAAAAACCTTTCATAAAAGGAGACTGAAGTTTGTCCAAACTTCCCAGAGTCCAGTTTGAGATGTGGAATCTGCAAACAGATACAGATCTCTGTGATGTTTGGGTGATCCTGATGTGTTTCTGTCCTGAAGATGAACTGCCGCCGCCCGTTCCTGCTGTAGGTCCGTGATGGCCGCCGAGTTTCCTGCAAACGGAGGAGACGAAGCCCAGTCCAGACTCAATGCTGGTCATCATGGCCTCGCTGGATGGAAGCACGTCGGTTGAGACGCTTCTGGCAGCGATCCATCTGGAGAGGTGAGGGATGCTGAGATTTAATCTGTTGCCTTTGTTTAGATGAGTCTTCATGTGACCTGGGATGTCTCTGCTGTCTTTCAAGGTACCTGGACACCTTCTGCAGAGCTGGTCTCCTTTTGGCCAGAGACTTCACTCACCTGGACAATGATGCCTTGGTCAGCCTAGGCGTAACCGCCACTGGACACAGGAAGAGAATATTGCGACTGGTCAGCCACATCCAAAGGGTGGAGAGTCAGCGTGCCAGTAAGAACGTAGATCTCCTGTTTGAAAACCATCTATCGGTGACAGAGCGAGGTGGCAGCTCTGCAGCCAAGCTGATGAACTCCAGCGGTCAGAGGGCGCTGCTGAAGCCCGTTCCCAAACCTCGAACTGTGTTTAATCGCCGCAGGACGGCGCCTGTTCATTTCTGCCCTACACCTGAACCAGCACAGTCCATACCCAGGAGGCTATCCCAGGAATCCATCTGCTTCACCTTGGTGGAAAGTCTTAACTCAGAGGCCACACCCACTTCCAGTCAAACCTCAGAGGCCACACAAACTCATGGTTCAACTTCAGAGGCCATGCCCACTCCTAGTCAAACCTCAGAGGATTTGTCTAGCCCAGGTTCAGCCTCAGAGATGCTGTCAAGTTGTGATTTAACCTCAGAAGCCATGCCCACTCCTGGTGACATCCGGAGACCAAGCCAGACGGGCAGAACCAGGCCCAGCCGCAGCCTGTCTCTGTCAGATGCTGGAGGAGTGGTACCTCCTGTCCCCCCAAGACTGACCCGTATTGCCTCCACCTCAGTGACCCCACTCTCTTTGTCTGCGACCCCGCTTTCCTCTTCTGTACAAACAGAACTGAGACGACCCACATCTTCGCTGTCTTCTAGTCCCGGTAGTCTAGACAGAACCAGGCTCTCTGGATCTCCAGGTTCTCCAAGTGGATGCAGAATGGAGATGGTCTCTAACGATATATACTGGGGCACCTCACCAAGCTCTGCTGCCCCCAATGATGGGAGGAGTTATTGCAACCAAGCTCCTCCCACTCCACCTAGAAACGTCACAGACAGGAACAGGTGGGTTGGTCTGTTAGTCTCCAGAGTCCAGACCATGATCCACTAAAGGATTTTTTTTGTATACATTTTTTAAAGTTTTTAACATTGAATTATATAACAAGATGGGATGTATTATTATATGTCCCTTATTATATTTATTGATTATTGATCTGTGTGTTTTAGTGGTAGCACTTTGAGTAACAACTCTTCAGGATCAGCCAGAGGTGAGTCCAGAGCCAGACCAAGACCCGTTCCTTCAGATCTCAGACATCCGTTTTCTCTCAGTCAGGCTGAATATTTTCATTGTATTCTGAACTGAACCTCGGACTGTTCTGTTTGGATCCACAGATGAGCTGGAAGAGGAGATCAGCCCTTACTGTGAATCTGTTTTCCAAACCAGAAGACCTCCACAGCTTACTGAGGTGAGACACAACAAGCCCCGCCCCCTGCTGCACAGAGACCGCCTCTTGATCGAAACAGGTCTGACATGGATAGAAGTGCTCTCACTAACTGATTTCTGATCCTGCAGAGCAACAGAAGCATATCAGACAGCAGAGAGATGAGGACCGAGGAGGAAAGACTCCCCGAGGATCATGGGTAAAAGCGCTGCAGTCTAAAAATTTATTACACTATTTATGTAAAAAACTAAATAGGAAACACAAAAAGATCAGAATCTGTTAAACATAATCTTCATAAACTTTAGAGATTAGAGTTTTAATTTGTGTTAACTCAGTTTAATATTCAAAAACTAAAATAAAATAAAAAAACGTCTTTGGCTGAGAAAGGCGGGGCTAAGACCCACACATGTAGAAAACTACATCATCAGTGTAGAGTCACACTCTGAGACCAGATATACTGTCTGAAGTCCAGATTTAGAGTCAAAGACCAGTTTGATTTAACGTTTTCAAAAGTTTTACAGTCCAAGTCTAGGTTCTCTGTCCAGGTCCAGGGTCAAACAATCACCTGGACCGTAAAACTGGACTTGCAGTTTTACAGTCTTTATCCAGGTTTATAGCTCAGGCCCAGTTTTTACTAAACACTGTTAAAATCACAAACATAAACGTGGACTCAGTAAAGAACCCTTGTGTTCAGTTTGAAGAAGAAGAAAAATAGGATTGAACAAAAGTTTAGGTTTAAAGGAGGCAGATTTAAACAGTTATATTTAAACAAAGGCTTTGTTTTCTGCTCTTCTGTTTGTTGATAAAGTTTTTTTTTTTTTTTTAACTTCAGGTGTAGATTCTCCTGGAAGAAGCGTTTGTCGCAGGTTTTTCACGCCGGAGAGGGTTACAGCACCGTGGGAGAGGCTCCGCCCCCTCCCCGCTCCCTTTCTCTGCCCCCCCAAGCCTTCCCCTTAGAGGCTGACGATGAGCTGACAATTTCCCCATACGCCAGCTACACCTCCCTGACGGAGAGAGCTCCGCCCATCATTAGCGGCTGGCTGGATAAGCTGTCGCCACAGGGGTACGTGTGATTTATGCACTCCCTTAATCTGCAGGTACATCAGACTTGTTAAATCAAGCGCCTTTGATTTATGCATTTGGTCAGACTACAGCTACATCAGACCAGTTAAACTGGGGGTGTTTTTAATTTATACACCTTGTAAGACTGCAGTATGCCAGAGATTTATACACCTGTTTAAAATGAAGCTTTGTTTGATTAATCCAGCTGGGTTTTGTCTCTGTGTATTCATCAGGGGTCAGAGGTCAGCTCTGGCTGGTCGGCTGTGTCTCTTCCTCTTTGCTTCTCCAGTTATCTCCTCTCATTTAAAGAACTGCCTCTGCCTCATCACCTTCCTGTCCTCCTCTTCCTCCTGTTCTTCCTCCTCTCGGTGTGTTTGTTCTTTCTTCCTCAGTCACAAACTGCTTCTAAAAATGTATTTTCTCAACTCTTAAGGTTAACATGTTTATTTATTTATAAAGATGTACTTTTTTTAAAATTAGGTGTCTTTGATGTTTCCTCCATCTGTGATCATGTGACTAAGGTTCTTCTGTTTCAGGAACTACGTTTTCCAAAAGCGTTTTGTGAAGTTTGATGGGAAGAACCTGATGTACTTTGGTGGCGAGAAGGTACACAGATCTCCCTGTGCTGAAGTCACGTGGTCATGCGACCAGTCCTGGTTCAGGGTTAAAGAGATATGAAACCATGTATTTTCTCAGGTTTAGTTAGACCAGCAGCTTGGTGTCATATCGGACAGGGAGATAAGAGCAGATAAGTTCTGTGTCAGTCTGATGGGAGATGAGTCCAAACTGAATCAGAACCTCAGACTGTAGAAAGTTAAATACTAACTTTATAAATAGAGTTTGAACTGGATGGCGTTGCTGAAAAAGCTAAAAGAAGCAAAATACAAGATAAAGGCTAATAACAGCAGCAACATGTAAGCTAAAGAAAATCAAAAGACTATCTCAAAGCTAAAGTTTGTAAAATGCTAGCTAAAACTAAAAGTAGCATTTTAAGAAAAAAATATCTCAAGTTGCTGAAGCAAATTTTTCAAATATGTAGTTTTGAAACAATTAAGAAATCTCAATGTTAATTATTGAAAAGGTTCATATTTTGAGAAGTACAAATTTTAGAAAAAACTCAAAGCCCCATCACCTGAATGAGCTATGAAGTGGTTTATTTTTTTAAAAAGCACAGAGTATACATTGCTGTTTTAAAACTGAGCCAGTCCATCTCAGATGTCAGAAGGGTTCTCCTCCGTGGAGTTCCACAAGGCTCCGTTCTCGGTCGCTGCTTTTAAATCTCTTCTTTGAAGTTTGCCGTCTGCTCATGTTTGATTTTGTCCTCCACCACATGAGGGGATTTAGATTTCAGGTTAGATTTTAGTTTGAGTTGAATAACTTTAGAATCTAGCAAAGACCAGGTTAGTTTTATTATATCCTGAAACACAAAACCCAAGAACTGAAAGAGGATTGATTTTATACCAAAGTTCAAGCTCAATAATCCAGGTAGAAATCCAACAATGTTCAGTCAGGTCATCTGGATGGTTTCTTTTTTTGCTGAGACATTTCGTCCTTCATCCCATGAAGTTGATTGACTTTATCTTTAAACGTGACCAGAAAGGAGTGAGAGGACAAAAACTCTCAGATCGTCATGTTTTTATAGTTTCTCGATGTTCCATCTTTAGTTAAATAAAACATATCAGACTGAAACTCACCTCACAGTGTTTGAACTTTGACTACTGTGTTCTTTCAGGACGTCTACCCTAAAGGAGTGATCCCGTTGGGGGCCATCCAGATGGCCCGCCCAGCCAAAGACAACAAGTTTGAAATTGTGACGAGTCATCGAATTTTTGTGTTTCGTACCGAAAACGAAGGTGAACTTACACAAACCCTGACAAAATACTGTATTTGTACTGTATTTGTTTGAAACTTTATTTAACAGACACAGGTTTAAAGGTGATGCCAGATTTTGGGTTAGAACTTTGTTGCTTTTTGTTCATTAGTAATCTAAATTAAATTTTCTGTGAATGTGAGCTGAGTGGTTCTTCCTCTGCTGCTGCACACATCAGAATAATACCTGCTAGAGTCTCGCCGACATAAACGCTGTACATAAATCAGAGAAGAAGAGTTAAATGTTAAACTGTCGGACTCCGACATCACCAGAACTGGTCCAGTGTTTCTGCGATTAACTAATGGACCGATGCAGCTGATGTGGTTACCGTGGCAATGACTGACAGCCCCGCCCCTATGTGTTTTGTGACAGTGCTGAAGCGGCACTGGGTGTCCACGCTGCAGGAACACGTCAGGGATCAACTGGTGTTTGGTCGGCACCGGTTTGGACCCGGATCTCACTGCCAGAAACATGGAGTCCTTGAACTGAAAGGAACCAAGTCTAAAGTGTACGCCGCCATCAACACAGACCAGATCTGGCTGTACAAGAGCGAACAGGTGAGACAGGTGAACCTGTCACCTAAAGGCAGATGGGAAATGACAATAAAACAGGAAGTAGTATTAGCTTTTGGCACGACGTTCGGCTCAGAATAAGACAAGTTTCAACCCAAGAGTTTAATGTAAATTTGTTGGATATTGTGCAGATAAAACTTCTGTAAGTGTAATTTGTCTTCATGTTTCTCAGTGTTTTCGTAACGGAATTGGCATCACAGTCATCGAAGCTCGAGGAGCGACGATACGAGATGGAAAGCACAGAAGTTTTGAACTCATCACTCCCTACAAAACCTTCAGGTAGTTTTTCCACCCGTAACATCCCTGTAAGGGTTATGTTGTTCTCCTGTGAAATTCTCATGACGATCCGGCGACAATCATGGACCGTATTTTTATTTATTTATTATAAGGCGCATTAAGCGAAACAAAACAATCAAATAAGTCAAACTTTATTCATCTCATTCACAATAACTCTCAACATTGTTCAGTTTTCCACATAAAATTGGTTCGAGGTCAGTAAGCACAACCAGAATTAATACATAAGGTGCACCGGATTATAAGGCTCACTTTTGATTTTTGAGAAAATTAAAGGATTTAAGTGCACCTTTATAGTCTGAAAAATACGGTAACTCTTTCCTTTACCGCTCCTGTAACCTTTCATTATTGCTCCTGTGATGCTCTGGTTAGATTCCTGTAATGTTCCTGGTTTTTCAGACTTTTCAGATCTGATTTTAAAAGCTTTGCACGTGTGAACACAAACATGTTCACACGTTCAAAATGAAGTCTTTAGTTTTTGCTTTGTAAACAAAACTTTATGCCTTGTAGCTTCTCAGCAGAATCAAAGACAGCAGGGTCAGAATGATTTATGTACCTGCGAAACTGTGGTCATTCAGAAAGGCGTTACCATGGTAATGGTCCAACAAGCCTGACCACAGACCTTTGTTCTCCTCCTCAGTTTCACGGCCGAGACGGACCGGGACAAGCGGGACTGGATGGAGGCGCTGCAGGAGGCTATTGCTGAGACCCTGTCGGATTACGAGGTGGCAGAGAAGATCTGGTCCAACAGATCCAACAGGACCTGCGCCGACTGCAAGGCCCTGAACCCGGACTGGGCCTCCATCAACCTGTGTGTGGTCATCTGCAAGAACTGCGCAGGTAGTGCCAATAGTAGTACCAACAGTAGTACCAACAGTAGTACCAACAGTAGTACCAATAGTAGTACCAACAGTAGTACCAACAGTAGTACCAACAGTA